GAGGATGAAAAGGGTGTGAACTCTGAGAAGATGTAAACCGAAGGAGGAAAAAAATCCTGTCCTTGTAGGGGTGGGCTGTGGAAAGGAACAAAAGAAGGAAGGAAGATGAACCCTAAAACAGTGGGGAATACAGCAAAAATGCATGAAACGTCTTCTGTAAGGGAATCAGTGGGAGTTGTGTGCTATTGCTGTCTAAAGCTGGCAACAGAGACTCCTCTCAGGACAATAATGAACATTACTTAACTGAGGAAAGATATCTCCAGATGTTGTTTCCTCTCTCTAGCATTCATAATCCTTTTGTTTTTTTCTGATTTATCTCTGGTTTATACCCTCCACTTTTATCCTTCTGTGTATGAACAGGTGCATTTCTACTCTAAAAGCATCCTTAGTCATATACAGTGTGCAGTTACAGTAACTGGAAAGACCTTTCTATCTATCTATCTGTCTATCTATCTATCTATCTATCTATCTATCTATCTATCTATCTATCTATCTAATCTATCCATCCCCCCGTTTGTCCACTACATAGTCCTAGAATCCTAGGATGACATGATAACAGAGCCTGGAAGGGCTGTCAGGAAGTCTGCAGCCCAGCCTCCTGCTCAAAGCAGCATCACCCATGAGATCAGACCAGATTACTCAGGGCTTTTTCCAGTAGGTCTTTAAAATGGTCCAAAGATGGAGAGAGACTGCACAGCATCTCCGGAAAACCTGTTCCAGTGTTTGACTCTCCTCAGTGTGAAAAAAGTGTGTACATTGTGTTGCATGCCAGTGAGCCGACATTGTTCTTCAGGAAGATGTACAGGTCAGAAGCATACAAGAGCTTCATGCTGATACTTCAAAATATTCATACTGGGATTTATGAATTATGTTTTTTAACCGTGCTGTATGTATGTAGGTATATATACTTGTGGAAGGCTGAAGAGAACACAGAGGACTGCTGATTAAACAGAGACCCTCAAAAATGCCCAGCTGGCTAACACCCAAACCAGTTTAATGTCTAATAAAAACTAGCATTTGTACACTCAGGTGAGTATTTTATGGCATGTAATACAAGAAACATCTGTGGCTCCAGCCAGGTTCTCGTGAAAGGAAGTTCTGATTACAAAGCTGTCCTAGTAGTATATACTAATCTGTATGCTTAATGGAAATCTGAAGGAGAGTACAGTGAACAGTACTCACCCTCTGGAGCTGGGAAGTGATGTGAATCGCAACCCTTCAAAACCCCAGAGACAGAACCTACTGATTCATGAGAGTGGTTTAAAAATAGAGGGGTTAAAAATAGTAAATGTCCTTGTTGTCGGTATGCTGGTTTTAAATCCATATAGTTCACATTTTCTGGCTACACAGGCCCGAAATTACTGAAAAATGTAACTACTTAAAAAGTAAACAAATAGCCACTGAGACCATTGTATAATCCAATGAAACTGAGCTTGGCTTTATGCTGATGAATGGGACCTTTACACTGCCAAAGAGCTTTGGAAAGTCATGACTTTCTGCTTTTTTGTTAACAGAAATCTCAGCTCAAGATAGAAGAAAGCTGATGCTTCCTTATGAAATGCTGAACTCCTGATCCTGCTCTATAGATCATCCCTCTATCCTGCTTCGTGCAGAGGGGCCAGCATGAGAAAACAGATGGGTCTGACATTGACTGTCTTCAGCGCGCTACCCTGCTCGCCCTAAGAGCTTGCCTGACATCATCGCTGTGTGCTACAATTGTATTTTAGACATACCGTCCCCTACTCTGTCCTCACAATGCCCTTTGCACTGTGACTCGGTGGGGCTGCTAGAAGACAGACTTACAGCTGTTTTCCTTAGTGCCTGCCCATGCTCGAGAAACCGTCTCAGTTACAGAGTGTTCAGGAGTCTTCTCATTTCTTTCAGGGCATAAAGGTTTTAGGGTGCCAGTGAAAAATCTTGTGACAAACCAAGTCCTTATGTCCTTCCTCAGATATAATTTAAATTTGACTCAGTCAAGACTCCCACTTACTTCAGTAAATCTTTTGAGATTTGGCCCTATCCCATGAGCACATTGCAATCAGCTGTAAAAGCAGGAACAGAACTGAATCCCATAGAGTAACATCACAGTAACATACATTATTTCCATCCAAGTAAAAAGATCTTCCGGGATTTTCTTTTCTGGCCAAATTTAAAGCTAAACACATTACTCATCTGTGCACAAGTCTGCTTTCCAAGGCAAAACTCACTAGAAAAACAGGAAATAATAACACTGTGATATATAAAACTAGGTTGCTCTGCTCTGTTGTCAAAGCCACAAAATCTGTTTTCCATTAGTTTTCAAGTATAGGGTGAAATGTTTAGTGCATCTGTCTACCCATCAGTCCATCCATCCATCCATGCATGCATCCATCCATGCTTCTTATTTTTCCTGAGCAGAGGGAAAGTTCAGCAGTTTTCAGCTATATTTCTTAGAGTCTTTTGTTTAGAGAAAGTAACTGACATCAGAATTGAGACTATGTTTTTTTCTTACTGATAAGATTATCCCTGTGAAAGGGGAGCAAAACAGACTCAAGAACATCATGCTTAAAAGAGTGTTCTGCTGGATCCAGTCTCAGTGGTTCAGGAGGCACAGTCCTTCCTAAGCTCCTTCCTAAGGGTAGCTAAAAGTGAAGGAAAGCCACCCATTTCCAAGGGCACTTCATTAGGCTTGTCTTCATGTGAGGAAAAAACTACATTTTAATACATTAATTAAGTAGATATTTAAATCATTGTGTCAAATATTTTACTGCAGGTGCCAATAAGCATATGCTACGTACACCCTAGCCATGTAATTGCTATTACTATTTCTTATTTTTTGAATAACACTTACAAAAGCGAACCCAAAGTCTGCAGCTGATGTATCTTACTAAATGCCATGCACTCCAAAGTGCGTCCAAAAGTCTTAAGCAATTCCACAGTTCTTCACAGAAGCAAAGTTGCAAGATAGGACCCAGCAGCAAAGCCAAAATATGTCCAAAATTTTACCTGTTTTTTGTAGCAGGAACATACTCTTTCAATGGTAATTGAGATGGGCTCAAGTGTCCTATTGTACTTTGGCCTGGATTTTTCCAATCTGAAACATCATATATTGATCACATCTGTTCCTAAGGTTGAAGGACCAGAGTGTGTGAAGGACTTTGGTACCCACAGTGGATTGTGAACACCAGCACCCAAAACTGCTAATTTTCAGACAAGGTCTCAGATACACAGTCAGCTAGGAGGCATATAAAATCATTGACTTTTTGAAGGTCCTGAAGATTCAGCCTCTGGACATGTGCAGAAGCACTTCAGTTTTGACAGGGCTCAGCAAGTTGTTTTCTCTCATGCATGTACGACATGCATGTATCTCACCAGAATTCAGAAACCAGAGTTTCTCTGCTGGTGTCTTTGATGGTCTGCTCCAGAAGGAATCAAAGCCTCTCTTTCTCAAGCACCAGCACGAAACTCTTGAATGCTACTGATTCCATTTAAATCATGGTGTGGTTGGTGTGGCACCATCACTCCTTTTTCACAGAACTGCCCCAGAGCTGCAGTTCTCTCCTTTGCCTGGAGCATTAAGAACTCCTATTTCACATCTCTCGTCTCCTTCTGAGAGTGGCCTAACCACTAATCTGTGAGTTACTCCACTTTCCAGTTGAATCTATGCCCCTGTGAAGAAAGAAATCAACAATTTCTGAGTCCTGAGGGAACACCCAGACAGCTCCTGACTTTGTGGGCAGGATGCTACTGGCCTTTTGGCTGTACATGAGCAATACAGGAGCCAGAATAAAGCCAGTATGGGAAGGGAACCTGCCCTAGAGGCAGCTTTTGTGATGATACTGGAGAGAAACCAGTTCCCACCAGCTGCTGTTTCTCCAGACAGTGGCTGAGACTTGCCACTGGCAGAAGCGGGACAGCTAGAGGAAGCTGGGAAGAAGGACAGGGCTACAAGCAGCAACTGGAAGCAACTGGAAATGGCTATAAAGAGACAGGTGGCATATCTGAGGGAGGGATGAACGTGCCCACCTTCCTCTCCATCCTTCTGCCTCTTGTAGTCTCTGTGACACAGACAACTGCAGCTGGAGGTGCTGGCTAGGGAGAAAGGGCATCAGAGACCTGCATTTCAAGCCAGCATCAGTGAAAGCCACTTACTGTGGCACTGATTAAACCAAAAGCATCTATTCTGGGAGCAGATGCTGTAGCTGAGGTGACTGCCCTGCCATCTGGGCAGTACTCACCTTTCTGCCGGCATTTCTGCTGCCCTTGGACTTAACTGCACTGTTGGGAGCTAAGGGCTTGACTGGTGAGCACACTGCTAACAGATTCACCCTCAGCAGGTGTGCTCCTTAACAAAGGATGTGTCTGCCTGTGATGCTGGCTCTGTGATTTACCATTTGCCATACTGAATACCCTCATCAACAGCCTTGTGTCTTGGTGAGCTGGGGGAGTGGAAGGGTTCAGCAGAATCCTCTTTCCCCATTCTTCATAAGCAGGCAATCTTTCCTTTCCCCATGCAAAGCAAACATTCAACTATCAGGGAAAGAATGTAACTGCTAGGACAAATTGTAAAAGTCTGCAGCAAAAAGCACAGACAATTAAGTCCAGTGACTGGTTCTTTATTATGGGCTTTTCAGTCCAGGTTCATTCATGGGAGGTCTGGATTCATGCAGTGCATGAAGCTGAGCAAAGGAGCATAGAGAAAGAGGGATTAAATCAAAGGGAGGGTGGGGTGATGGAAACCGTGGGAGGGAAGAATGAGTGGGAAGAAATAAGGGAGAAAGGGAGGGGAGATAGGAAGGGTACAGACAGTTGAAGGATGGGAAGGGGTTAGTGGGTGATCATGCAGATGGTGTGAATCATCCTGTGGAAGAGATTCACAGAGTGGATCTCTTCCACTCTGTTGACTGCTGGAGCTATTACTTGACATTGTTTCATGATGTCTTACTGAGAGCTGAAGTAATTCTCATGTTTCCAGTGAGTAGAAGGTGAGTATTAAAGACTAGAAACCAGTAGCTTTTGGAAGAGATGCAGCTCTTCACTAATCTGAAAACAGAGATGAGATGGAAACTTCATTAAAAAGTCCAAGTCCTTGCCACCTGGCAGATTTCCTACTCTTCAAAGGGGTGATTACAGTCCAGGGATGTGTTTTGCTAAATGGTGGGAAATTATTTGGTCTTAATGTGACTTTCCCAAAAGAATTCTTTCAACTGCGTTGTATTTTTTTTCCACCTCATAATCAGTTTAAGATGTGTAAATATCAGTGCATGATATCTGCCACTGGAGTAAGTTGCAGGTCTTTTCCTGAATTAAACTCACCGTCTATGAGACATCTGAGCATTTTTGTAAGGATGAGGAAGACAAGCTTTAAGAGTTTGCCTTTCCTTGTGGGCTGCAGGATTTGGCTAGTCCAGTTGTAGAGAGAATATGTCTGTTTTGTAGACTTTTCTGGATGTGGGCATGCATCTCTTGTACTTCATCCTCCACCACAAATATCCCCCTTGAGGTTCATCCGCCTGTCCCAGTAGTGTTGCCAAGAAGAACTAATTGCAGTAGCATCTAACAGTATTGTTGGACACTGTGATTTTAATTTCCAAAGTGAGTACAGTAATTTTCTTCAGCTGGGCCTTGGTGCTCTTCCTGGCAGCCACCTTGTTTGAGAGGATGACTTTCCATTCTCCTTGTCTTTCAGCAGAGTCCTCTGTCGCCAGCTGCTTTATTGATGGTATTTTTGAAAGTTTTGAGGCACCCGCTGTTTTAGTCTAGAGATTTGGATGAAGCTCTGGGAGCGAGTGGGTGTCCAGAGACATCTGGCCCAGCAGAGTACATCCCTTTTGGCCCCATGACCCACCCAGAGTCCCTCCAGCTGCACTCCCCAGGGTGGACCACAAATCGTGCATAAGGTGGTTTTGTTTTGCTCCTGCTGCCAGAAGCTGGGCAGCTTTTACTACCTGTGTGTATCATTTCCTATATATTATGAATTAGAGGAGGTTGTCTAGGCCACAGTTTAGCTGATGAACCACCAGTGTAACATCAGGCATTACAGAGAAAAACCCCTGTCAACTAGATCACCATGCCCATATCCAAAACACTGCCGTACATTAGGATAAGCTGTATACACTGTAAGGAGGTCATATAGCAGCCAAGATCTTGAAAAAAAAAACCACCCATAAGATCTGTAAATGAAGGCAAGATATATTGGTTACCCCTTTTTGAGCACACCCAGAATGTTCATGACAAAGCTCCTGTACAAACAAAACCAAGATAAGCCCACCCAGGTGCTGCTGCTAAGGCACAGCAGAAAGAGCCTTCACATCTTTGTGTGTTTGATTTCCCCCATGACTTTGGAATGAATAGCTCTGGAAACCAGAAAGATGTGTGATCACAGAAGCACAAGTTCATGGCATGTTTCCAAATAAAGCAGAAGAATCATCACACTAAAGGGTTTAAATTATGTCTTTTTCATCAAGTTGGTTTGTCTGAGGTTGCATTTTATCTGTATCTCATTAAAAAGAGTAAATAACTTTAGTCCTGACTGGATCATGTTGCATGGGCAGATCTTCCTAAAACTCTAACGTCAACATGTGGAACTGCTGTAATCCAGACCTGGAACTCTTCACTAAACAAAAACAGGCCCTCACTTAGTTTTGGCTTTTAAACCTGATTGCAAACACCATACTATTTTTTTTTTTTCTGAGATGCTGCTCAGCATTCCAATAGGACTGGAAATCTTCATTAATTTATCAATTATAATTTATTTATTTCCAATGTGACACAGAGAACAGTTTCATCCATGACTGCTCTCAGAACTTTTCAAACTGGAGATGTATCAACAAAAATTGTATCATGTGTTTCTCATTGCTGTGAATTGTGTTCCTTAAGATAAAAGAGGAAGATTTATCAGGAGAAGATTGCTAGATGCTGTCCAGAGATTAGCGGAGGTTGTCAACTCTGAACTGGGCTGAGTGCTTGTTCCTTACCAAGCCAATAAAGTCCTGGCACTGTTACAAATGCTGTATATGTATTTGAAGGTTTGAGAGGGAGAAATGGATAATAAAATATCCTAATTGAATGGGGATAGAGTTAGCTTTGAAAGCCAAAACTTTTTTTTTTTCAGGTGTCCAAATTAAAGCACATCTCATTACATATAAAAAGAAAATCTTGATAATTCCATTTATGTATTAAAAATGTGAGTCTTTGATAACTTGTGGAGACTGTGAGTTTTAGAAAGCTGTTTCCCATTTATCCTCCTTGTTGCTGCTGCTGCTGGAGTAAACTACAAACTGACTCCCAAAATAACAGCTAAGTAGCAATCGGGTAGTGATTGGTAAAAATGTTTCCTAGGAAAGACTAGGTTTGTTCCCATGCTGACCAGGCTGTGATCAGGTTTCTGTCTTCCACTAAACACACAGACATTCCAAGAGGAGAAAATAAGTTTTCTACTCCCTGTTCCTAAAATAAAAGGCACAAGAGAGAAACCATGGAGAAACCATAAGTAGGAATAAGAAAAGCTGTACTAGCCTGGAGGATGACCAAGTAAGAGAAAACCTCCAGAGAAAGAGATGATTTAGAGTTTATACAAAGGGCCTTCCTGGGGCTTCATAGTAAAATTACAATTAGGCCACTGTGGAAGACTCTCCAATCTGGTGGAATTATGGGGTGAAAAAGGAGTAAGAAGTCCTTGGAGGCTGCTGGATATTGGGATATTGCTTCAATTAACTGCCAGATATTGGCATATCCAGCAGTATAATAAAGAAGCATGAATTCATGCAACAGAAAAAAAATGAGGGAGAAATAAAAAAAAAGAGAACTGTTTACTTTTCTTGGGCTTGGGTTTTTTTCCACGTTTTCAGTTGTTGCTTCAGTTTTACATTTGTGGAATAAAAAAAGAGAGCTATACACAAAAATATTCCCAATTGTTAGCAAATTTAAGACAATTAAAATGAGAGATTCAAGATAAGCAAATCTGAGAGGTAGCAAGACAAAAAATAGTTCAGGTTTAAGGACGGTAGTATTACAAAAATCAGTAATGTGTTTTCAAATAAATATGTGAGCACATGCAGGAACTTGGAGGAATGTGTATATTGGCAGCACAGTAATCAGCGAAAAGAGAAAGAAGAGGTTTCATATGAGGACCTGAATAAGCACTGTTGGTACTGAAGTGGTTAAGAGCTCAGAGAATTGTACGTTTGACATGTGTATTTGGAGAGTTGAGAGAATTAATTCTATTCTTACTGAAGAGCAATACAGTTGGCTTTGAAAGCCAGAAGTCAGCTCTGTAAGTGTGTGTTTCCAACTGATGTGCTGAAGCCAATTTTTCTGATTATGGAAAGAGGGACTGTTGATTTAAGTTCAGTCATAAAGTTCATCTTTTGTTGTAGAGAAGAGGTGGAAGCAATGGGTAACATACATGAAGTAAAGACTGATAAGCAGAAATCAGAAACTCACCAGAGGGGAGAGAGGTTGCTTATCTTTGTTTTAACTGTGGGGGGTTTTCTGGTTTTATGTGTAAGTGAAAGGGAAAAGATCTAGTATTATCAGATTCATTGCTTTAGCTGAACTTAAAAAACAAGAGAAAAATTAAGGTAGCATGGAGAAATAGATGCCACTTTAACCACATCTCCATCTACAAACATGTTAAACTGTTTCTCTTAGTGAGGATAAATGTACTTCAGTTATTAAAGGAGCCATGACAAAAAGATCGCTAGAACATAAATGAACAATGTCTATGTCTGTAACAAAGTATATGCAGGTAGATGGGACTTTGTGTATGAGAAATGTTGAGCATTATGAAAAAGAAAAGGCGAATCAGTTAATTATAGAAACGCTTATTATGGTAACACCTACTTTGAAAGGCTGGTAACATCATCTTTAGTTTTGCAGCATTGAGGTTAGGAAAAAATGTCACTTTGTGAAGAGCTGTATGGGGGATATTTTTAAATGTTTATGGAAGGAAGCTGATGGAAAGCAAATACATGGTCAAAATCAGAGGTTTGTCATTTGTGGTAATCAAACCTTTCTCTGTGTGTACAATATGCAAGCAATTTAATGAAAAATTAGGTGTGTTTTATTTGCAAAGATCCAACTGGGTAATGTTAGAAATGTACAACTGTGTTAAAAGAAAGACATGTTGCCACTGGAGTCACATAATCTCAAATCCACCTACTCGTTCAGGGTGTGATAACCCAAAATATGTTCTGCTTTAACCTTGCTCTTTGTCAGTCAAAACAGATTAGAGCAAGAGAAAATTTTCTGGATGGTTTGACTGTCCACGTATTGTTAGGTTAAATCACAAATCAGCCTGTGCAAAACATCCATGAAGACCTGCACCTGCAGCCATCAGATGATTACTTATGTTTTAACGTAACTACAGTGACAGGTCATGATTACAATTATGTGATACGCATAGAAATGACCATCGAACTCCATTACGTGAAGGCAGTTGTTTGATAACTTTAAACTAGTGCCTTTAGATACCTGCTAAATTACTGAGGTACATGCTAGAACACCCTGCCTTTACTGGATTTGTCAGCTAGGTAGCGTTCCAGAAATTACACTCTGTTAAAATAAGATTACTCACAATGCAGCCATGGTGGGGATCCTTCCTAATGGTTGCTTTCCACAGCTACAAGCATTTTCAAATGGGGCTTTCCCTTTTACAGCTGGCATTTTAATTGTTATAATGATTTTTGTTAACTGTGCAGATTGTTTTGGATATAAAAATTATATGCTTAGCAAAATGAGTAACGGCAATACACCTAATCTGTGAATTACAGGCTATCCACTGGCCTGTAACCATCATTACAATGCAGGACCAGGTAAGAAGTAGCAGATGACTCCTAGAAGAGCCTTTACTCAGTCCTAATCAGGAGCTTTTAGATAAAAGCGTGTATCCTTTGTTTCTGATATGTCCTTTCTGTAAGTGATAGAGCTTGCAGCTTGCAGACTATCACAAAGGGAAGTTTTGGTTGCCAGTAATAACACTGTGTATGTAACATTAGAAATACCTGCTATAGGATGGGTCATTTCTATGCATGTCATGTAATCACACCCCTTTTAGGAGATTACACTTACACATTTTTTTTTTGTTAGTTTATACATTGAAGAGATTTACATACACAGCTGGCGCATTTCTAAACAATCTATGAGGCCACATATAGAACCAGGTTTCATGGGCTGTCCCTACAGTAGTTTCTTCTGGAGTCAGCTCTTCTTTCAGCTTCTTTGCTTTTCAGAGTAGTAAGTTTGTGATGCAACAGATTTTGTAGAAACTTGCCTTCAACTGAAGAAAGATTCTGGGGGCAAATTCCTGTGCACCAGAATGGAAAGGGCATGCTGGTAGAGAACTGCATCACAAAGCATATAGTCAGAGAAATGGAAACAAAACTGCAGTGTCCCAGACCTCAGGACAGTCCAGATACCATCAGTGAAAGGACAAGATTGGCTCAGTGATGTGCATCCCAGAATGGCAGGACAAAAGCACTACTGTAGCTTAGTTCTGTGAATACAGAGGACTAACACAGTAACAGTCCATACCAGAAGGGAATAGTGATGTGGTAGTGGCTTACGAACAATATTAAATCTTTCAGAGCATAGAAAAATACCCTTGCAAAGCAGGGTGATTTTGAAAAGACTGCTAGTGAAGGGTAAGGGAGCATGACGTGTGAGTCCTCTCAGGAAACTTGTTCAAAAAAGCATCTAGAGAGCCTCGTCATTACAAAGATATGCAATACCTAATACCAGTTGATGTCAGCCACATAAGCCATGACAGAGATGATCATTTACTGATGCAGGATGACTGTTGTGTGACTCTTCACTCAATTAATTTATTATGCAGAATTATTCACACCATAGTTTGCAAGAGCAGCCTTAGTGTCATGTAACAGAGATCTAGCAATCTATTTCCCAAGAAAATTGAAGGGTCACCTTAGCCTCCTGTGTCAGGTCCTAGTTGTGTACTATGGTGCTTATAGTCTTCTCTATTGAAACTTTTGGGGAATTGTAACAATAATTTAAACTGATAAATCCTGAATTATATGCTCATATATTTTAAATATTCTGTCTGCATTTTTCTTTATTTACCTTAACTTACCTTAACTTATTGTTTGTGGAGCTACAATAACATCAGCGGAACTACAGCATTTATGATAGGATGAAGTGCAGAACACCTGTAAGATAAGACCAAATTAAATATATGGCAGTTTAGGCAAAATAGAAGCATTTTCAGCACTCCATACAGGGCTATAGTAAACTTACCCTCTTTTTCTGTTTTTTGTTTGCAAGGCGTAACCATAGATTCACTACATACTTCTTGTAGTTTTTAATTTGGTGCCTGGTTTGCCTGATTTTCCCAAAGCATTGTTCAGATCATTTTGAAATGTCCATAAAATAAATTTTAAGCAAAAGGAATGCCAAGTTGGATTTCAGTCTTTTCTTACATGTACAAGTTGAAAGAGCCAAAGGTGAAACAGGGCTGCTGCATATTCTCTTCTGTGCCCTGAGGCAACTTCGCACCAGCAGGATAAGCAGTTTGTTTGATGATTCAATTTAAAAAAAAAGCTTTTTCTGATTGTAATGAAGTGATTGACAGTATCTTTCTGCAATGGGAGAGTTTGTTATAGGAAGTTTTAGTGAAAAGCTCTTTTGTTCTGCCTCTACTGTTTTTAAAATCACTTTGTATTAAATGTGTTTATGAGCCTCCTGGCAATTTACTTCATGGACAGCCTAAGCTGTAACTAGGCATGGAACTACGGTTCTGAATTTTGAGTCTTTTCAAAGTATGAAGTGTTGGGTTTGTCCTTTTTACAGAGAAAAGGATGAGTCAAGACAGACAGTTCCAAGACTGGGTTTAGTCTTAAGGTCTGGATTCTGTGACTTTCCAAAAAATGTAGCGTTCTTGCCTTGCATTTTGATACTCTAATATTTGTGTTGCATTAATATTTGACTATTTTGATTTAAATGTCCTGATAATGTAATTTTTCTGTGTATGAGAAGTTTTATATATTTATGTATTCTAGTATTTAATATGAAAACTTTCCTTCTACTTCCAGTATCTTCTTCCTTATGAAACTCATATTTAATCTTTAAATATATATATATATATTTAGACTTAATTCAGCCGTTACATAAGTGGATATATCTGCCAGGAGCCTGAAGGGACTCGTATCTATGCAAACCTGAATTTGATCCACTGTTTTCTTTGTGAATAAGGAATAAGGAACTACAAGAAGCTTAGGTCGTTAGTCATGAACCATGTCGTTATTTATACAAATTTATTGGACCCATTTATTTGCTGCTGTTACATAAATACATCAAAGCCTTCACATGTATGAATTTCTTGGCAACTCATGCTTTTTGTGTTTTCTTGGTAATATCCTCAGGTGCTCAGATTTTTTTGCTGGATGAATAGTGTTGAATCGGAACATGAACAAAAGGGGAGAATTATATGAACAAAGAGGAGAAGATGTCAAATTCATGAGAATTCATACATTGCAGTATATAAAAATATGCAACTTCTTTCAAACCAGATGTTGAAGTTGAGATGAGTAGCTGGCATGACACAGAAAATCAGTGTCATCTGTTAGATCAGCAAGCCAGGGTTCTGAAAAGTCCCAGTATAATTTTTTTTTATCCTGAAGACCTGACATAGAGTGGAAATTTTATTCATGTTTTCCTAATTTCCTTCATATTTTACAAAGAAATAAAACCCACAAAGTATTTATTATGCCTTATTGCACTCTCAGAGTCCTATTAGTGGGGCAATAGCAAGTAAAATAGAAATGACAAGAGTTGAAAGTCACTAAAGGCTTGAAAGATTGTGGCCACTGATGATACAAAGGCACACTGGTGTCTAAGAGAAGAGAAGCAGCTGATCAGTGAATGGTTAGAATGGCTTGGCTTGTATGACCTAGACTGCTTCCTAATGTTTCTGAGAAGGCCATCAGGTTTTTTTTCCCCTGCATTAATGGAAAGAAAGGAAAAAAACACTGGTAGCCTGTAAGAACAATCAAAGAGTGCCCTTACAACTTGCTGGGTAACTCATGATTGCTTGGTAATCAGACTGAAAGGGAAAATAAGGCCGATTGAAGATTCTACAGCAAATGGTTTAGTTCCCTTTATTTTTCAGTCTTCAAAGTGTTGTCTTTGCAGATTATTAGGCTTTTAGCAAATATGACAAGATGATAGTCCATGTAACAAAAAGAATAGCAGCTACCAAATACTTGTGCAATAATTCATTTGAGCTAATATATAAATAAGGTAGGTAGAAGTGATAGGAAACAAGCAAATTAACTGACTAATGTTATGCACCCTGGAAAATGACAGCATGTAAGCATTTAAGTGTTGCCTAGATTTACCTAGCATGACAATAGTTATATTCATTTGGAGGTAGAGGAGTTCAGTCTATTTGAATTCTTCGAGTATTCAGTTGAATACAATGGTGTGAGTTGAAATGTAAGCACAGGACTTTGATAGGCCTGATGAAAGTGAAAGGATGTTTTTCATGCTGTTGTCTGTACAGAAAAGAAGTCACAGTGATAGCTCTGAGGCAGATAAGCACTTCTAGCATTCACATTTCTGGGTGTCAGCTTCTGTCGGAGGTATGCAGCTTCTCCTCTATATCCAGAACACAGCTAAAAATCAATCAGTAACTACAGTGGGTGGAAAAATACAGAAGTAATGTAATAGCCTATTTAAGGTAAAGGGAAGCAATCTGGGCCTAGGAATGTCTTTGGTATGTATTGTGACTCTTGCTAGGTAAAGAAAATGGAACTGGAAAAAGAGTCCAAGCACCAGGATGCATCAGACCAGAAAAGTAAGAAGCCAGTGTTCAGAGGGTATGAGAAGTCAAAATGGGTGAGAGCTGGGTGAGGTAAGCTTCTGTGCTCTCCTCAGGGCCAAGAAAAGATCCCTAAGGTTCCCAAATCTTGGATGGCACCAAATATCTTTGAAAGGTGCTGGCACTGTCCCAGGTGTACGTGTTGACACAAGAGGTAATAAGTCATTGCTAGTCTCATTAACTCAACTGGCAGAAAACAAATATAACCTTGTTCATGAACTGTACAGAGGATGACATTTCACAGGACTGAATACCTGTTTTTTCTATCTGTTTTGGATTTTTCAGGTGGAAGATTAGGTAAGAAGTCTCTTCACTAAAAGAGTATCACTGCTAACTAGAGTGTCCATACATCCTTTTCCTGCCTCCTTCATGTGTAGGCCCTGTAACAGACTTACTAAATGACACGTGAATTTAGGCTGCAAGTAAGTCATAGCTAAATCTAGTCACATTTGCTGCTGAAGCTGGAAGGGATTATCTGAGACTATGGAGTGCCAGAAGAAAACATAGTTATATGTTTAAGGGTGCAAATACTGTCCAGCTGAACAGGATTATGTCTCAGCCTGTGCTATGGGATGCTACTTCATAAAAGTACTTACCAGATGTGCCATGTTCCTAATTTTTTTGGACCTGAAAAATATGGAGGAGTTAAATTTGTCAAAGTCTCCAGTATTTACAGCTGCAGCTGAAGACAGTGATAGTTTTCTTTTAAGCACAAAGAAAATAATGCTGACTATCCTCAAAAATAAAAAATTCTGGTGTTTCACACTGGCTCCTAAGACTGATGAAAACTTTTGATCCTATCTTTTATGTGCTCCAGTGCCTCATTTGTAAAATTAGGATAAGATCAGTCTTCAGAGAGGCATATGAATATGTGTTAATGCTTGTGAATTATTCTTAGTCCATTTTTATGAACATTACAAAACTAAACCCCAAGGAAATTAATTATTTGTTCATCCTAACAGGCTTTGGAATGTCTTTTTGTAGTTAAAATAGTGGTCTGTGTAAATGCACCAATATCACATAAATGAAATTGTGTTTAAAGTTCACCTGGAATACAAAATAGAAAGACTACATTTCTTCTGAAAGTAAGTCAGCTGCAAATACAGGTTATATATGAATTTGATCAGAAGATGAGCCCCCTGTCTAGGTGAAGAGTAGTTGGAGGGAACTTGGTACTGTTTGATGAAGATGCCAGTGGAAGCGGGACAGAAACTAACAGCAAACAGAATTAGTGCCAGTGTTTCTTGAAAATGTAAGAAAAGAAAATGCTTCTTGTCTGACTCCTACTGAGTTCGGCAAAATATCACTTCGTGACTGTCCATTCTTTCTAGATGAAAGGGATTGAATTAACAAAATACCCAATTCCATCACTAGTCTCCCATTTTAAAGGGAACACCCAAAATATTTTGAATTTTGACTGATATAACAGATGAAAACAGGCCACCCACTGAAAAATGAATATAAAACAAAATATTCAATAGTTGCTCATCAAGTGGCAATACTTATTGTGTACTCTGACCAAAATAAAGGTCCTGGGTACAGAAAAGAAATAAGTTCATATGAATATCATAATACAGGCACAAAGTATCAGAGTTGTGCGAGAAATCTTTATTCTATGCTAGATTTTACAATTCTACTAATAGTTTTCAGTTCTGTGTGTGTATCACATAGAGGACCACTACTTAAACTGCAATCAACATAAATATCAATCCTACTCAGAGAACTTAATCTTATCTAGAATAAGACATTCAACACGAACATTTATGAACTCATAAATAGAAGATACTTCAAAGGGAAAAACTAATATATTGTGTTAAAAACTATTCCTTTGTACATTTAACCATATTGAAATTAAAACCATGTCTGAGATTTGCAGAATAGGGTGGAGAATATAAACTAAAATCTTCCATTAACATTCAGAGTTCATCAAAGCATATCCCGTCTCATGAAAGAAAAAATATTTATTGGAAATATATCTGTTTTCATAACACTTTCCTGTGGACATTTTTTGAGGTCGTTTCTGCCCAGAGAGAGTAAGGAAGTGAGAGACAGATGCTGACAGACCCACCCTAACTGAAAACCTGAGAGTTCTTTTAATCCCCAGACAGCTCCCTCATCTCTGAGGCCTGCCCTTCCCACTGGCCAGGGATGCCAGCCCCTCTGGTTTCAAGTTCATTCAGTTACTGGAACTGTCCTTCAGCATTGTGGCAGTAAAACCAGTAATAAACTGCTTGTCACAGCATACGTAGACAACAATATGGTGATGGTTGACTTTCTAGCAGCTAGAAGCAAAACCCATTTATCATAGCCTCTGTATTCTGTCATGAAATGTCATGAAGTTGCTAGTTCAACATCAGTTACTCCATGCACATAAACCATTGTTCATACCATGTTTATGATACATGCATTATTGCCTTGTTTTTAGAGCATTTTTGACTTCCAATAAACCTTTTGAACAAGCTATCGCTACCTACAAGTTCAGCTAAAGTCAGCAGAAGTACAAGCACCGTATCTTTCTAATTAACCCTATTGACATAATTCATCAATTAAATAAATACAAAGCTTTCGGAGCAGCTCTGTTTTCATTTTCCTTGCCCATGGCCTTTGCAGAATGTCACATGACAGTAGACCTATTCTCCACGGCCCAGTCAACATATCAGTGCCAAATGTATGGAAAATATGTATCACTCTTGCATACTCTTCAATTAACTTGATGTACAAAAATGGCACAGGGCAATGCAAAACTGAGTCTAGAGAGTGTACAATCTTTAGTGAAGCAGAAAGAAAAATCATTCCCATGTCTTTAATTCCTTGAAGAGACTGGAGTAAGATTTTTTCCGCATTAATCAGTTCTGAATAGAAAGTAAACACTGGAGGGAAGGAATGCCATCCAGAGGGATCTTGACATGCTTGTAAGGTGGGCTGATGCCAACCCTATGAAGTTTAACCATGACAAGTGCAAGGCCCTACACCTGGGTCGGAGCAATCCCAGGCACAGCTACAGGTTGGGCAGAGAAGAGATTCAGAGCAGCCCTGCAGAGAAGGACTGGGGGTGTTGGTTGATGAGAAAAAAAACATGAGCCAGCTTCAGTGTGTGCTCACAGCCCAGAAAGCCAACCGTATCCTGGGCTGCATCAAAAGGAGTGTGACCAGCAGGTCGAAGGAGATGATCCTGCCCCTTTACTCTGCTCTTGTGAGACCTCACCTGGAGTATTGTGTGCAGGTGTGGTGTCCTCAACATAAAAAGGACATGGAACTGTTGGAACAAGTCCAGAGGAGGGCCATGAGGATGATCAGGGGACTGGAGCACCTCCCGTATGAAGACAGGCTGAGAAAGTTGGGGCTGTTCAGGCTGGAGAAGAGAAGGCTGCGTGGAGACCTCATAGCAGCCTTCCAGTATCTGAAGGGGGCCTACAAGGATGCTGGAGAGGGACTCTTCATTAGGGACTGTAGTGATAGGACAAGGGGTAACGGGTTAAAACTTAAACAGGGGAAGTTTAGATTGGATATAAGGAAGAAGTTCTTTCCTGTTAGGGTGGTGAAGCACTGGAATGGGTTGCCCAGGGAGGTTGTGAATGCTCCATCCCTGGCGGTGTTCAAGACCAGGTTGGACGGGGCCTTGGGTGATATGGTTTAGTGTGAGGTGTCCCAGCCCATGGCAGGGTGGTTTGAACTAGATGATCTCAAGGTCCTTTCCAACCCTAACTATTCTATGATTCTATGATTCTAAACACAAGAAGAGTAAACAACATCATGCTTTAACCAGATAAAATGCCCATATAGGACAGGGAAACCTCATGAATCACTACTGGCCTAGCAACTCACTAAAGTTTTGTTTCAAAATAGGATGGGAGGAATTAATGATGACCAGAACTCTGAGCCCAAATCATTAAAAGAAGACACAATAGAAATTACAGATGTGTATGTCCATGCATCAACTCTGGGCTTATTTAAAGCAATGCAAACTCTGGGATGAGTAATGAAGACAGACATTTCCAGAACAGTAGAAGCCCCAACTAGGAAAGTTCCCAAGCCTATTCTGTCTCCTACAAGACAGCACACATCTTAATAATGCACTTAACTTTGATTGAAGTTAAGAAAACTTTGGCATAAGTTTAAAGTTGGAACATATGGTTGTGTGATTTACTGGCTCAGATTCTCTATTTGCAGCTGGGTAAGGCTGGACAACAGATAAACATCTTATTTGTAAATCTAGATCTAGACAAAAGTACAAAAATTGCTGAGAGGAATTAGGACAACACTGGCTGGAGAGGAAGAAATAAATTTTCGTCCTTTTATAAGGAATGTCCTTGATACAAACTTACGCAAGGAATAATAGCTTTTGTGATTTTCTTTTTTCCTCTCACATGCAATGAAAATAAATTATCCTTTATTTTAAGATAAAGAAATAAACCTGGTAAAATGACCTAGTAGACCGAGTACCCATTTTGGTTACATTTAGACTAAGAGGCCAAATTTAGAGGTGCAGTCTCATGAAATGTGAATCTAAAGAAACCAGGACAAGTAAAAAATCTTAGTTTATGTTAATAGAGCTTACATCTTATGCAAGTTTTGCCAGGTTCTTCTTTAAGTTTAGTCCATTATTTAAAATTATTATAGGTAAAGTAAAACAAAGCACTTTCTTCAGTTCACATAAGAACTGGCTAACATTCCAGTCCTGTAAAATATTTAACTGCTGGCATGAAGCTCAGATCTGTACCATGACTCTGCAAGCCAGCAATCACATTAGGCTTATATTGTAATACATTTATAATTGTGATAACCACTTTGAAATAATACCAAATTCCAGAGCAAAATAGATCTATGAATATTAGGACAAGATGAAATAATTTATGTTCAAAGAAGGCAGATATTTTTTTGAGTGATCAAATATCTATATCCATGGCAATCTACAGCAATTTTGATACTATATAGTGCAATTTGAAGTATTAGCCTACGGCAAGATAGTTTTAAGGGCCAAGTAATTCTCTGAACAGTCCAATCTTTGATTGAAGACAGAATCTTTCATGTAGCTAGGCTTGCACAGGAACAATTCTGGTAAAGAAAAGCTCCCAGAAAGTTACTCTGTGTAATGGAAAGGGTAGATTGAGGCTCCATAATCATCATTAAAAACCCTGTGGGATGAACAATAATTAAAACTACATGAGAAACAATTGACTACAGAAAAGCTTTTGGTATGCAATATGTCAATCTTTGCAGTGCATTCAACATCCACCCTTGTTATCTGTTATGGAGATTTCCCTAGATGTCTTGAAATGAGGGCAACCTCCAAGTTATCTTAACATTGTGATCTCCTTACCACAGGCTCTCTGGGGAATTCATGTTTTTCTTGTGTATTTTCAGACTTCCTGCGCAGGAGACTGCCAAAAAGGATTACTAATGCAAATAAGATGAGGCTACACTTGAAATCCTCATTCACAATGGAGAACTTTATATTACATTTACACGTTCATATATTAATAAAATACAAATGAAGACATTTGACCCCCAAGATTTGTCTCCTTCTGAAGCTGGCATAGGAAATTCTATCAGTCTGGGGCTTGCTCAGATGTCAGTTTGGTTCCTGATGACCATGCTTAAGGCTGCTATAATACGTGCTGTTTTGAAACATCCATTCCAACAATGTGCCAAGAATGCAAGAGCATCCCTTATCCTGCATATCTTCTCTAAGCCTGGATTTGACAGGAAAAAATTGCTCTATTAGGGAAGCATTGTGGTAGCAAAATGATTCTTACATGATTTAGTTTAAGTACAAAGCATTCTGAAGCAAGAAATAACTTTAAAGTCTTAATTGAAAAAGAAGCTTCATTATATAAAAAGTCAATGAGCCAAGACAAAACTAAAGCTTACCTGGTCATTCCTACTCCATATCAAAGCTTGACTACTTCTACAATTTTCTCATCATTCTGTAAAACATGAACTAGGGGGGGGAAAAGTTTTCCGGTGTCAGCAACAACTTTCATCCTGATGTTTGATTTTCTGATGAGGTTATACATGACCTCAAATAAACCACCTTCAAAGCTTGAGGACTGGAAGATTCTTTTCTTTCTGTCCAGGTTTTGTCTTCTTAAGGGCTGCTCTTTAGCCAGTCTCCATTACCACCAGGAGAGCAGCTTTTCTCAGTGGACTTACAAACATTTGTGAATAAAGGTTATTATTTTTGTGACGGCTGCTGTGTTTGTAAATACTGATTGTATCTAGATAACCTTAATAAGCTTTCTGTCATGACAGGTTGTCTTGGAAGGCTCATGGAGGAACTATCCATATTTTGGGAGTGATGGTTGATGAGAAAATGAACATGAGCAGGCAGTGTGCGCTTGCAGCCCAGAAAGCCAACTGTATCCTGGGCTGCATCAAAAGGAGCATGACCAGCAGGTCGAAGGAGGTGATCCTGTCCCTTTACTCTGCTCTTGTGAGACCTCACCTGGAGTATTGTGTGCAGGTGTGGTGTCCTCAACATAAAAAGGACATGGAACTGTTGGAACAAGTCCAGAGGAGGGCCACGAGGATGATCAGGGGACTGGAGCACCTCCTGTATGAAGACAGGCTGTTCAGCCTGGAGAAGAGAAGACTGCTTGGAGACCTCATAGCAGCCTTCCAGTATCTGAAGGGGGCCTACAAGGATGCTGGAGAGGGACTCTTCATTAGGGACTGTAGTGATAGGGCAAGGGGTAACAGGCTCAAACTTAAACAGGGGAAGTTTAGATTGGATATAAGGAGGAAATTCTTTCCTGTAAGGGTGGTGAGGCACTGGAATGGGTTGCCCAGGGAGGCTGTGAATGCTCCATCCCTGGCGGTGTTCAAGACCAGGTTGGACGGGGCCTTGGGTGATATGGTTTAGTGTGAGGTGTCCCTGCTCATGGCAGGGGGGTTGGAACTAGATGATCTCAAGGTCCTTTCCAACCCTAACTATTCTATGATTCTATATTACCACTTTCTATACAGAACAAGCAATGGTATCAGACCAAGTCTTGCAGAGGTTTCCACATTTGAAAGAGCATTCTCTTTCTCTAATTTTTATTTAATTGCCATTACCAAACTGCTTGACAAGCAGGAATTAATCGACTGGTAAATTCAACATTACTATTCCAGTACCATTAGTGGGGTAGGACAGTAATAGGATTTCATGTCCAGCCTATCTCTAAGGCATTAGCCATTGCCAGAACTGAAGCACAGCATAAGTCTCTCTCTTCTGAGTTCAACTCATTCTTCTGAAGAAACTCCCTTCCAACCTGTGGAATCACATACCTGCCTACCACTAGCCAGCAGCTCACTCCCAACTTGTTCTTACTGTCCATGGGCTATGCAGCCCTTCTGCTCCCTCAGGCAACACCAGTGCTTGTCTGGTCTGAACCAGGGAGCTGAGCCAGGTGAAAATGAAGAGATTTTTTGGACTGTGTGAGTGTGTTTGGGTTAGCTTCCAGATGCAGCAGGTCCCCAATCCAACTGACCACACAGCTGCTTGAGTGCTCACACTGGCAAAAGGGACGCAGCAGCATTGGGTGCAGGGATGCCTTTCTCAGGGAAAGCACAGTTTTAGGTTGATTTAAGCTGGCCACAAAACCACACCCGTATCTTCAGAGAAATGCAGCCTTGGTAGAGCCATATGGTTTAAGAAATGACAGTCTAACCAGTGCAGAGACAGTATAGATTAAGCGAAAAAAAGACTTGCCAGCTGCTTTCAGCAAGGTCAAGCAAGTGCTATGTTTATTGCACCACTAAACATTCATTTTTAACTGCTGATCAGCAAATTTGTAGATATTGTATATCTTGAAAGCTCCCTTTTCATTTTTCTCTCAAAAGAAAAAGGTTAGTTCAAAACATCACAATGTGTACTTTTCACTGACAGGAGATTTCTGCACATGCTGTTTACTTGGTTGTCTGTGTAGAGGCCCATTATGCATAAATCAGTGCAGAGAAATAGGGGATTGTTTTATTACACAATGAAGTTTTCCAAAAATGTCTTAATTTCTTGTTCAGGAAATGGCACCATTGTTTACTTGAAACAGATACGTTCAGTGGCCTGGAGGAGTTTTGTTTAAGGAGACAGCCTAGCCATAGCTGTGAGTAAGAGTGTTGCATTGTTCTTGACAATAGCAATTAGGAAGATATTTTGATCTGAAGGTAATTAGCAAAAATGGCAAAATGCTATTCCAAAGCTTGACAAATTTTCCAAATGTTGAAAGATGAAATGAGTCCAGTTCTTGGGACAATTTTCAGATTACTCAAATGTCTTGCTTAATATCAACAAGAAATCATCTATGAAGAATCTCTGTAATTTCCATGGTATTAACTTGCAGTGCATTTCATATACAAATGAGCAGGGCTGACAAGTTGCTATGTCAACATCTTAAATCCCTGAAATTTTATTATCTTGGGATCAGATTAGCAAGATGTTAGTGAGCAGAAAGACTGCTCTCAGTCCTTTTCCATATGACCCCTTAAATCCTCTCAATTGTTTTTTCCCAACAATAGTATCTATAATCCTTCTACATTCCAGCCCCTTCTCCCCAGGTCCACTTCTCCCACCTTATCAAGACCTCTGTGATATTCCTCACCTTCCTTCTTCCCATTTACTTCCCTGACATACACCAGTCCCTGGCCCACTGTACTTTCCATCAAGCCTTCCTGGCTTCCTCTATTCTTAGTCATGTGTTCTTACATGCCCAGGGACCCATTGTACCACAGGTACAAAATTAAGTTCTCCCATTCCAAGGATAATTTATTTTCAAATCTAACTCTGTGTGAACTGCTGAAAGGGCAAGTGTAAACCAATTTAAGAAGAGAAAGATAAACCTGAAACATTTTACAATTGTATTACAATACCCAACACACACCACTCAAGGCAATTTGTCTTGAATGAGATCACATTCCCATGCTTCAACAGGTTAGCAGAACTGATCTGTTCCACCGTAGCACATGACAAAGTGTTGGGATACAGAAGCTCAAAATCTCTGCTGTATGCAGATTGTGCTGTTTGCAGGATGGGATGAGTGAGAGGCTTGCCAGGCAGCCTGTTGCGGTTCCAGATTCTCCAGCTAATTCAGTGCTTGTCTGGACAGCTTTAAACTATACCAGCTGCTGACAGTCCCCCTCGGGATCATTTGCTAATTGCAGATTACCAGAAACAGCAGGGTATCCCTTTCTACTCCAGGGGTAATCCTTGTGCTGGGATGGAGGGGAGGAGAATTTAAGAACCAAAAACACAAGCCTCAGTTGAGAATTGCCTGCATGGTAGAGACAACTAATAAGTTGGTGAATGCTTGAGCGATTTCTGGTGCCTTTGTGCTCTTTCATGCAGGGAATCTATCTTTCAATATACTAATATCAGCCTATTAATTCATCAGTGTGGGTATTACACACCAGAATGGCTTCATTGTAATTTGTTCAAGTGGTTGGTATCTGCGTTTGCGCTAATCCAGGTCTGTGCTGTCCTGTCAAATTGATGTGTCTGTGTTGCCACTTGTACTGAACTCACTTGTCTGGTCCATTTCACTTGAGAAAGCCTTTATCTCATGTTTTTCCCACACCAGAAATTTGATTGTCAGGTCCTTGGTGTTATGTCAGTGCAAAGAACATGAAGCTGTAATCTGTATGCCTAGGACACAATTTCAAATGATACAGTTTTAATAGCAGCAGCGATCCTTAAAATGTTTAATCCTCCTTAGTGACTTCTTTGTATTTCTCACCAGCACTGTTTTGAAGCTTTAGTTACCATGTGGGCCATCCATTTTTTCTTGCTAATCTTTGGAAAATGCAGAAATCCTGCACGAAAGGTGACAAAACCCTGAGTCAGATTTCAAATTCCAAGGTCGCTCCTGTGAATGGCTCTCCAAATTACAAAAGCTTCCAGAAGAACTTTTTACTGCCGATACCTGTCTTAACTATGTGTCTGGAAAGCGTCTGACGGTGCTACCTATTGCATGGAGAAGAATTTCTTCACCTGTCACTAGAGGGCAATACAGCTGCTCACATCATTACACCGCCCGGCAATACTCCTGCAGGCAACTGCCTAAACCCATCGGCGCGAATTTCACGTCAAAATTCGCATTATTTCCTCTACCCATGCTCAGGTTCTGCCTTTAATAGTCACTTGTTGAACACTTTTGAACAGATGATCCAGAATGTCACTAACAGGAGAATGTCACAGAGGGGAGAACAGTTGATGCTGTTTACAGCAGCAGGATTTCTCAGTTTGTCACGCTTCCTCGTAGGGGTCATTGTCCACACTGCAGCACTGAGAACAATAACTGCAATTAGACTCAGACACGTAGTCCCTGATTTTGAACTACTGATGCCAAAGGGAGATTTATTGCTGACTTAATTTCATACAGGATTTGTTCCTTGGTACTGACTTTTACCCACAACTGCATACACCAGAATATTATTTATATTGGATTAAACTGACTTTCTGAGAAATGATTTAAGAGCAACATGGATCTCTAGTTTTGTGCAAGCTGGGGTGAGGGGGGAGAGGGCTGGGAGAGGAGGAGGGAGGTTGAACTGTCACATGTAACTCAGATATTGCCAAACAGGCTAACTTGTCTTAACCTGCAAGCACCTGGCACGGAAACTGTCATTCTGAACATTCCTAAATACAGTAATGCTCTCATTTAACCATGGCTGTGTTGGCTACGTTTAATGGTGGTGTAATTTCCAAAGGAGATAATGCTATGTGATTACCTGGTATCAAAGGTAATTTCAGTTGTTTCACTGAGATTAAGTTTTTACAGCCCCCTCTGATTTTCTACCATGTTGCCCAACCTTACTTTCGCTTGGAGTCAGAGTTCTCTGATTTCGTATGATTATCCTGGGACAGTTTCCAAGTATGTATATGTTGGATTACCACCTGAGTGTATTTTCTTCCCTGCTTACTCAAGTGGTGCCTCCAGATAATCTTTCAAGGAGCCTATAAATATATATATATTCAAGCCTTGCAAATTCAGATGTGAAGCTCACATACTTGACTCCTTCCTCTTGTTTCTCTGCAGCCATGTTTGCAGTATAACCCCAGTTTTTCTCCCATTCCATGCAGAAAGTGGAAGTAGCTCTAACTAACTATTAACTTTTTTTTTCCATATATAAAGAAGGTAAAAGACATTCATATTTAGGTTTTGCAGGAGTTTTCTTTTGCACAGAAGGTCTTGTCAAATCAGAAGAGTTAAAATATGGTGGAGTCTGAGTAAGGGAGGAAAGGGTCTGAGGAGGAAAGGCTCTGGGGCTATCTTCTCCCCCCAGATGCAACACATGAAGGAACACTATTCAACAGAAGGCTAATAATATATATATCTTTCAACCAAGTAGCCTTCTACATGGCATATATCCCTTGTCATATGTGATATGGAAGTCCCTCCCATGAACTAAAAATACTTGAGGGATCTGAACATAGATATATTAGCACCATTTTTAGATGTACATGCTTCTGGTACATTGGGATATTACAGACACTTCCATTAAAATACCTTTTTGTTCTTTTTTTCCTAAAGCTTTGGTTTGTTTTTTTTTTAAAGTGCCTTTTAATTTAGTTGTAACTTTTTATTTAACAAGTCCCTTTTATTAAATACAGCATCTTCTCTTTGAATGCAGGACTTGTAATTTTGTAATTTTGGGGTTGGCTCATATGTCCATTTCCTTCAATATCCTCTTTCTGACGCTGCCCAGTATAGCAAACTTCAGAAGAAGGCAGATGAAATCCTGCTGCTGGTTAGAACAAAAACTGCCATTTTTCTCTCTCAGAAAAATTATGCAAAATTTAAACAGCTGTATTCTAACACTCTGCTATATCCCCATTCATATTTTAAAGTAAATGTAGATGCTTTCCTAATTTTTGTTGCTGGAGGCCAGCTTTACTTCCCCCCCCCCCCCCCCCCCCCCCCCCGGTTAGTTCTTTCCAAACTTAAAGACAATAAAAGGTGATGAAAAAGTCTTTGTGGTGAATCCCAAGTCTAAGATATCCCCAAGGCATTGTGGTTAGTGCAAACCCAAGAAAAGCATTTAATTCCGTAGATAGAATCCAGCCCTTTCAGTAAGTGAATACACACCTATTAAAAACTCATATTTTTAAAAAAACCAACAATTCCAGGTATATATTTTGATAGATTGGGTGGATAAATTCTCTCGAGTCCCTCTGCACACAGCGGGCTTTGTCTCTGGGCCCCAGGACCACATAGGCACTGAGGAAGAGCAGTGAACAGAGTGGACAGGACAGTTAAAATGGAAAAAAAAAAAGGTGGTGGGTTTTTTTTTTCCTAACAACCCTCCTGAATCGAATCAGCCATCAAAACTCAGAATGGGAACTTTAAAGCCCCTCGCCTCCTTCTTTCTTTCCATTTCCTTCCAGAACCCCTCACGCCCTCCGGGAAGCAGAACGAGGTGAAGCCATCAGGGGCTCTTCACACCGCACCTCCTCAGGACACAGCCCAGCAGCAGGGCCAGCCGGCGGGCCCGAAGCGGCACCGAGCCACCACCAGACGTGCGCTCGGAGCCCTTTCCCTCCCCTCAGCCTACAAGGAGGGACACGAAGAGGAGCAGGAAGAGAAGGAGGGTCCGTTTCACCCCGAGGGGCTGCGGCCTTCAGCGGCGAGGTGACGGGAGCTCCATGCCGCCCGCCCACCGCGCTGACAGGAGCCTCGCGGCGCATAGGTGAGAGCCGTTGGCGAGGAGGGAGGGGTGTGTGCCCCCACACCCGACCCCTGGGCGGGCCGGGGGACCTGAGTGGATGGAGTCCGCGTCAGTCAGGGGCAGGGCGAGGCCGGCGACGGGGGATAGCGGCCCCCGCCCGGCGGTGTGGCTCCAGTTGTGGAGGAGCTGCGGCACCATGCAGGCGGCCGCAGGGGTAGGAGGGGAAAGGCACCTGTTCTCTGTGAGGGGAGGCGGGCTGAGGTGGGAGGGCTCCCTCCGCGGGCTTGTCGCTGCTATGGTGCTCCTGCCGGTGTAGCGGCAAGCCCGCCGGTCCCCTCGGCTGTTCGATTCATCTGCTGCTTTCTAGGACGTGGTGGGCATCCTCTTCCTGGTGTCGGTGGCGGCCGCGCTGGATTTCAAGTACCACCACGCCGAGGAGCTGGAGGCGTACCTGAAGAGAGTTCATGCCACCTACCCCTCCCTCACCCACCTGCACAGCATCGGGCGCTCGGTGGAAGGTAGGGGAAGGGGCAGTGTGGGGGAAAAAGCTTTCTGCTCTATTTAAACTGGGACAAACATGGGTAGAAGTGGCTGCGGTGGCGTTTCGTGGGCGCTTGCTGGCGGCAGGGCTGCTTTAATCCCAAGTGCCGGGTGCCTCTCTGCTTACATCTGTGAAGTTTCCTCTTTCTCCCGCTTAAGCGTGAATAACGAACTCGGATGACACATAGGGCACTTCAGCTAGGGTAGAAGTGCCTCAACAGCTTTTTATTTGAGAATTGGAAACCTCCCGAGTGGCAATTTCAGAAACAGGGCTCTCTTTTAAAGAGTTTAGGATGTTGTGGTACCCTGTTTGCCAAGTGCCATTCTAGGTGGGGCTGTAATAAGAGTGTGTGTTTTCTAACATGTGGCTATGTTAAAAATAACCTCTCTTTTGGCTCTGCCTATTATTCCAGTAAATCAGGACTGGCTAGAAAAAGGATTTCAAATTCCATACTGATATAAGGTCTTATGCATTAAAGGAATAATGGGATTTCAGTCTCAAACCACACAGGCAAATGCACTGAAATCAGTAATTGCCCTTCTGGCCTTATATAGCTATCTGAATTTATTTCTCCATAATACTTTCTTACAATACAGAAAAAAAAAAAACCAAAAAAAAGCTTGTAGTTTAAGATACTAGGAAGTTTAGTGTTTGGTACCATATAAATAGTATGTATCCATCTAGCTTTAAGCAAAAAAAAAAAAAGTAGATTTCAATTTGGGAAAGTAAATTCCTTTGATAGGAGGTATAAAACTAGGCAGGGACATTAATTCTTTAGAAATATCATCTGCTCTTCTAATCCCATTTTGTACCACTGGAAGGTGACAGTGTAGCCTCTGTTATCAAATCTATGCATGTGTTTAAAAAAATCTGCTGCCTTCTAGGTAGATAACTGTGAAGAATGCTAGTAGCTTCTTTTCGTGCCTCCTTCCTTGTGTTAGTATGTATGTCTTCGCATTTTTCTTACATATACTTGTATTTGTCTGCGGCATAAGTCTTAGTTGATGAGAGGGTTCTATTTCAGTGAGGTATCAAACAGCTGTTGTCACTATGGATATGTGATCTTGTCTCTCTGTGTGCGGCTGCACTTGTGTTAGAAAGTGTCACCGTGGGAATACTCCAAGTAGACAAGGAAGCTGTGTTCTTCCTGGTTTCGCCAAAGGCAGGATCATATTGGACTCTGTTAATCATTCACACAGAGGAGGCTAGTCCCTTTAAGTGCAAGCTACCACTTATCCGCATCTTCATTTTCCTACCTTGAGGGGACTTAGCTAATGTTTTAATGATAGGGCTAGATTCTGACTTTTCTGGCAGGAGCTTTGCTGGCTTATCTCCATGCAGGTAGGAATAAAAAACAACCCTTTCATCCAACCTGAGATTGAAATTTTGGCTTTTACATATCTAGACATCTGAAAGTTGATAACATGAAGTGTTCAACTTGTCTGAGTTCCATCAGCAGAAAACTGGAAATGCATCATCTCTTGATTGTAGCTCAGCAGTGTACTGAAACTTCATTCATATTTTGGTTATATTACCTTCTGCTCTGCCAAGCTATGTGAGAAAAGAGAATTGTGTGGGCTCTGCCTTCTGCCAGCTACATGTCACGATTTGTGAAAAGGGATTATTTATGCCTTTTGCATGTCCTGTGTGCCTGCAGTATTCCTCTGAACAGGATAGCGGGCAGTGGGAGCTTTCTTGGTGCCATATAAAGCAGAGTGGCAGTGAAAAATGTTCAGTGCTTTTCTTTTTCCTAAATGTTAAGAGATTCCTACCTCTGTTAAGAAACATGCCTTTAGAGTTCCCTGAAATATGGTAGAGGATTGTGCTAAATCAGGCTCTTTGCTTTGTTGCTCATACTAAAAGTGTGTGGAAACAAAAGTGTTATAAATTTGGTGGAAATGAAGATTCAAGATTGGTAAATGGGCTGAAGTTCTATTCCTTTTTTTTTCTGTGTTAAGCTGACATGAACAAGAATATATGTATGCACTTGCACTTACTGGTATGGGTTTACTAGTGTCCCACTACCACTTAGCTAAACTGTGACAGCAAAATGTACCAGTTGATGATAAACTAATTTAAGTATTTTACTAATTTAAATATTTTACAAAGGCACATAGTGACAGGGCAAGGGGGAAATGGCTTTAAACTGTCAGAGAAGAGATTTAGACTAAGCAAAATGACCTGTTCTAGCTTCTCCTCAGATGTAGTTTGATCATCCTGGTGGCCCTCTGCTGGACTTCATCCTGTGTGATGATGTCTCTATTGCCCCAGGAAACCCATAGCTGAACACAGTACTCTAGATGTAGCTTTACCAATGCTAAGTGGAAGGGAATAATAATTTCCCTCAAGATGCTGGCTTTTCTTCTTGCTGATGCTGAAGCATGCCGGTTGCCTTTTTGTGATGTGAGAACACACTCCTGACTCAGAGTAATGGAACAGGCTGGTTAGGTAGGTTGTGGAGTCTCCATCCATGGAGATATTTAAAAGCCATCTGGACACAGTCCTGGGCAACCTGCTGTAGGTGGCCCTGCTTGAACAGGGGAATTGGATCAGGTCACCTCCAGAGGTCCCTTCCAACTGATTCAGGTTCTGTTGAAAGCCTTGCTAAGGTCAAGACTAAAGAAATAGAGTACTTTCTTCTCTCCCACTAAGCTGGTCCTTTCTGCATGAAAGGTAAGCAGTTGAGTATAATCTGTCACGTGTTTATTTGAGGCAAGACTTTCAAAGCATGATTGATATATGTAGACTATAAAAGCAGTGTACGCAACAGAGTCACTACCAAGAGTCTCAATGAAAAACAAAAGATGCCCAATCTGTTTTGTAGTGGTTTACATTACCATATACAAATTCACTAGCCCTTTGCCAGGTTACTAGGAAGAATGTGTTCTAGACTGGCAATGGCTGGTTCAGTCTCCAGGTCTGTACATTTGGAAGCCATGATCATAGAATCATAGAATCGTTAGGGTTGGAAAGGACCTTAAGATCATCTAGTTCCAACCCCCCTGCCGTGGGCAGGGACCCCTCACACTAAACCATATCACCCAAGGCCTCGTCCAGCCTGGTCTTGAACACTGCCATGGATGGAGCATTCACAACCTCCCTGGGCAACCTATTCCAGTGCCTCACCACCCTTACAGGAAAGAATTTCCTCCTTATATCCAATCTAAACTTCCCCTGTTTAAGTTTTAACCCGTTACCCCTTGTCCTGTCACTACAGTCTCTAATGAAAGAGTCCCTCTCCAGCGTCCCTATAGGCCCCCTTCAGATACTGGAAGGCTGCTATGAGGTCTCCAAGCAGTCTTCTCTTCTCCAGGCTGAGCAGCCCCAACTTCCTCAGCCTGTCTTCATAAGGGAGGTGCTCCAGTCCCCAGATCATCCTTGTGGCCCTTCTCTGGCCTTGTTCCAACAGTTCCATGTCCTTTTTATGTTGAGGACACGAGAACTGTATGTCATCTTCTAAGCTATTATCCTTAACTAAGGGAAGAAGGTAGCCTAAAAAGACAAAACCTGGCTGACAAAACTGAGTGTTATCTGTTTGGCTTTATTTAGTAGGTAGCCTCAAATACCTCAGGTTTTTTATAGGATGATTTGTATGTTTGTGAGAAACCAGATATCATCTTATAAGCAGGTAGGCAGAGATGTGTGGTGGCCCAGAAATCTTAATTCTTTTATATTGTTTTAGATGGGTTGTTGAATAAGCTCATAAAAGATCTTTGGCATGACTCTGTTTTCTAATATACACAGTATCCAACCTCAGTATAGTATGTGCACTTTATAATAATAATAATAGAGGAGGCTGCAGAGCTGTGTCAGTCAGGAGAATGGACCTGGTGTAATCATATTGACCTGTCCTGCCTGATGGCACCCTAGTGAAAAACAGACTACTCTTCAGCGAGCAAATCTTAGTGTGTGCTATCAAAAAGGAAATATTTGATGTCTAAGTATGATCTGTGGCTTTTAACCGCTCAAGATACAGTGCTTTTATCCCTCTTTGAAAGGAATATGAGCATGGTGGAAGGCAGACTTAAAGATCTAATAAATAGACATTTAGGCAAGCAACTTTGAAAGAGCTAAGCGGCTTTTGTAGTAGATATGCAGTCTTTTAAAAACTCTTTTCAGATACACTTATGGATGCAGATAAAGTGACTATAGCTTGGTTTAGATCTGGATTTCTGGTAATCAGGCTGTATTTTTAGAATTCCAGTCAAATTGGAACAGTTGTAAACAACATCCTCAAGCCAGATCCTGCTCACTGAGCAGAAGGTTGTGTATGGCTGAAGTACCTGTCCTTTTCCTAGTGAAGAGCTTCAAAGTTGACTTCATAGATTAACATCTCTGTGGCAGATTCCATCATTGAAGAGACAAAAAGCTAAACTGAGCAGCTCTTAATGTGGTTTACATTAGAAATTTTCAGAAATAGCTTCTTGCAAGAGAGCTCTCCTGAAAGCTTTTAGGTGAGAGCTTTAATTCTATTCTGCTGCTTTATATTCAATTTCTCTGTTGCCCTTGACCTGGCGCATTCCATCCATTATTCTTAAGCACTTTGCTAGTTTTCACTAGTCCACCAAACACCTCCATTTCCCCTTTCTCCCCCTTATAATTATTCAGCTGTCCCTGCTCTGTGAACAGGTTGAAGTATGCAGGTGTGTGTGTTCAGTTTGGGTTTTAAAGTTCATGCACAGACTTCCACACATCTGGGTGCATAGAGGATATGATATACTATGTGGAAGGAGTACTTGGCAGGGCTCCCAGTAGGCCGGCTTTCTCGGTGTGTTAAAGCTCATTATGTCCACTTCCTATCTGCATTCATGGGTTTCTCTTCTCGGTAAACAGAAGTGAATGATGCATGCCCAGGTTTCTGTCTAGTAAGTCGCTGTGACTTCAGTAAATGGAGGGTGCAGTAGGGACTGGGACTTGGGCAGCTCAGTAGGAAGTGTGTGTCTGCCTGTTAATAGAGAACTTAGGCAGTTAACCTGT